AAGAGGCCTTTGAACAGATTGGCGAATATGTTGCCCATTCCTCACGAGTCCGGTGGTGATAGCGATAACACAATACGAGTCAAGAGATCACTTCCTATACAACGGGAGACACGATTTGGTGCGATATCTGCGGAAAGGGAGACAAAAGAGCAGTGAATGAGACGATCAATGAGTGCTCGCAATGGATATACAGATGCTGTGAACGAATGGTTCGTATGTTTCGTCAAATAAATAGCGATTTAAACGACAATTAAATGGAGTATTGAATGAATGGATTGAGTGCTGGTATTGTCAGTGCATTCACTACACAGGCATACAGTCATACATACAGTGAGTCAGTCGTCAGCCTAACTGTCCGTCCCTTACATTCACTCCAATACTGACGTGGAATTCAATGCAATGCACAGACAGGCAGACACTCCACGCATACACTGCAACACCCCTACAGACAACACCTAACGGCGCCCCGAAGGGAGGGTCAGCCCCGCCGTACCCGCGACTTACCGGTCGGTGCGCTGGCGATCGGCCACTCAGTCCACGGCTTCGATACGGTATGCGTCTCAACGATCGGCACTCACTGTTCAGTCCAATAGTGTTCACTCTATTGACCGGCGAATCGCTAATAAAACCACTTTTTGTTCACTCATTGAATGTATCGCAGAATAATACATACATTACGGCCGATAAATACATTCAATAAACGCCTCAAACACTGACCTTTCGATTGACGCCCACACATGAGCCACATTTTCCACTCGCATATACCGCGCGTTATTTATGCGCCCCTTTCGCACTAAAGATTGACTTCTCTGCGAGACATAAGTTTATGCAATTAGTTTAGATTTGAGAGATAGTGAGAGACAGTGCAGTGAAAGCGTACAAATCGGTGGGAATAGTGTCTGAAAATCAAATGACTACCGAAACGGACGTTGAGTTGAACACTGAAAGCCATGCGTTCACTGCAAAAGTCAAACACTTTTTTTTGGTGCAATCGTCACGTTATTAGTGAACGGCCCGTGTGTTTGGGGCGCAAATCTGTGGCCATTTTGTGCGACACAACGCATGTCTGTCACCGCAACTGATCCACAACTTGTGGTCTGTCTTCACACCTGATTCACACGCCATTCACACACAGACATCAGCCATGAGTGCGGATCCGATCGCAGTTATCCAGCAGTCAGTGGTGGCCACGACTACGGCCACAGACACTGACGCCACGATCGATGCCATCACTGCCGCCACCACTACCTCATCGACAGCGGCGGCCGCGAAGGTGTCGCTGAAGACGTCGACGGCCAGCGCTCTGACTGTGGACCAGAAGCGGCAGTTGAGGGCAAACAAGTTCGCCGACAATCGGCTCCAGGAGAGGGCCAATAGGTTTGGCACGAACTCGAGCGCCAACCCCTCCAACAGCACCGCCTCTTCGGCGCCCGCATCGGCCAACGCGTCCGTTGTGGACGAGAAGCTGAAGCTGAGGGCCAACAGGTTTGGCACCGTTTGCGAGACACTGAAGAAAGTGGAGGACAGCGAGCGCTTGAATAAGAGGAAAGAGAGGTTCGGTGTGACGACTACCAGTCCATCGGTGGCCGCGAAGGGAACGCAAGCCATACAGAAGAAGACGACAGTATCGGTAAATGGTATCTACAATGAATGACAGGGCTTTGGGAACTAATTGTGTGATTGTATTGATTGGTAGGACAAGAAGCAGCAACGGTTAGCCCGGTTTGGCGCCACTTAAGACACGATGACTACAACGGTTGGAGTTTGCGATTTATTGATCATTGAATGACTGATGATATCACATATGATTGATTGGATTTGTATGACTGTATGACTTGTTTTTTGTAATTTATAATAAGTTTATTGTATTTCGAGTGAACGACTGTGTCTTAAAAAGACTATTTTGTATCCGAAACTCATTTATGATTATCTCTTGAATTCATAACAATTTCATTTCATTAATAAATGATTATAACATTTGAGTTCACTGTTGAGTTTATTGTCACCTACAGGTGATCTGTACATGACAACTGGGTGGCAAAGGTCGAGGGTTCGGTAATGTTCAAGAATTTTAAATTGAATTCTTATGAATTTTGTGATTTTTATTTTTATCATTTAATTTTTATTAATTGTGGAAATTTGTCGAAACCTCTCGAAAGTTGAAAAAGACTATTTAGTGATATTAATTTCAATCTATATATCAAGTTAACATTAATTTAGAAAATTAAGAAATATTCTTGGTATTTGTGTTCAAAAATTGAATCAATTCTAAGTAAGTAGATAACTGTTGTTAGTGTGGAGTAAAAATAGACTAAATTGAAGGTAATTGTAGGTAATGTTACATTACTAATGTAATATACGAATAAAAATATTGTGTGTAATTATTGTTATGGACTATAATATCAAATGTCTAATGCATAAAATTTTGTTGTTCAGCAAATTTCATTGCCATATGAATGGCTATTGGTTATGAAAAATGATGACAACCATTGATAACCGCCGATAAGATAACGCCAACCCTTTAGGTTGTGTTTCCATAGACTATTGAATAATATGATATTATTCTATATACAGAATTTTAATGGATTTTAATAGTACAGTAACTTAAATGTTTTTTATAATAATATAAGTTACTAACTTATTTAAATGAATGGTTGTTGTGAGTGTGGGGTAATACACACACAATCAAGCACATAGAGTAGTGTATGAAATGTGTGCCACAACTCTATGGCATGTTTTTCTCGCAAACATTGTGTTGTAAAGACTACTTGACGTCAAACTGAACGTAGCATCGGATCAATAGCTGAAGCGATAGCATAGAGTTCGCCATTGCTTTTGGAGAGACCTTTTCGTAGCCTTAACTGTGCTCTAACTCTATGCCACACTCTCTGGCGTACGATTGCACAGACACTCGCCATATAGTGGAGTGAAGTGTATGTCTGTTTTGAAATACCTGTTCGCGTAAGCTGTGGGCCATTATTAACAGACACCACACACTCTCGCCACTAGTTTTTAGTGGAAATATCTTTTTTATATACACTTCTGTCGATTACCACAAGAATTGAGTGTCTGTGGCTTCAAAGCTGGAGAAACAGACGTGTGATTCTTGGGCCCCAAAAGCGACTCAATTCTGTATTTATTTACCAAATTCTGTGCATATAATGTGTGACATTTAGATGAGATAAATATGGAGTAGAAGTGCGGTCACGAGTGGCAAACAAAACAACTTTTTGTG